ACCATTCCCGAGACTTTCTTCCTGAGGAAAGTTGTCCAGGAATGGATACCTACTGAGTGAGATGATGCCCACCTCACATGGCATACCTCCCCACGGCCACCCACCATATCTCATAGCCCATACCTTCCTCCCTGCCCCCTCTTCAGACCCCTTCCGGTTCCTTCACAGGACCCCCCACATGGCTTCCTCCTTCTTTCACAAGTTGTGCAAAGAGGCCTGCACCTGTTTCAATATTGGGATTTCCTATAGGTCTGTCAACATGCAGGAGCCCTCCTCCCATCACCCTCTCCTTGTGCCCTGGCTTGCCTGACCCAGCTTCCCAGCCCCTGGAGCCAGAACCTTAAGCTAACTAGGAATGACTGGGTAAGAATGAAGATTGGAGCTATGTCCACCTTGGCGCTGTGTTCCCCAAGTCCTAATAATATACTTCCTTTCTTATTCTCCGTCCTCCCCCCGCCCCCCCCAAAGCCCATGTTTCCTTTCCTAATTGCCCGCCAGGACTGTGCTGTATTTCACCAAGTCTGTGACCAGTCCCTCAGAACCCAGCACCCCACCCCCTACCCCTGCTCTGCCCTACTCCTCCCATTCTGGGAAGGCCACTCGCTTCCTGACAAAGGTCAGTGCCTGCAGGTTCCAGTGTGCCCGCCCCTCCCCCAGCTGAGAGCCCAATTTCTCTTTCCTGTCCTTCCTACCCTCACTTAACTGCAAGCCCTGCTTGCCACTCACCCGGCGGAGAAGGGCTCCAGGTCCCAGGTGCAGAGCAGAAGGCACCCTGGTGAGCAGATGGGTAGGAAAGCTTGTGGCGCTGGGGCATAGCCCCTTCCCAGCAGTGGGGTCACACGCCTGCCTGGGCCACTTCTGCCCAATCAGAGAGCAGGGAGCCACCAGACACTGCGGAGGGCCCCCGGAAGTGACGCCTTCTCCTCCCACCCTCACTGGACCTGGAGCCCCTGCCTGGACCATGGTCTGTTATCACAGCCCGGCTCCTCCACCCACACACACCACCGGAGGCTCTGTCTTTTCCTAGGAAATGGCAACCTGGGACCTGGCTGGAGAGGAGATGGGCAGGTTTTTTTTTTCAGGAGGAATCCAGCAGGACATTTTTGTTTTCAGTTCCTGGCTGGCCAAATTTCTTTCCCCTAGATACCACACCTGCTGCTGAAATCCAATAAGGCTCCTGCTTCCCTGCTTCTCTCTCCTATAGCCCCTAGGGCTGTGGTCGGCAAACTTCGGCTCTCAAGCCACATGTGGCTCTTTGTCCCCTTGAGTGTGGCTCTTCCTAAGCCTTAGGAGTACCCTAATTAAGTTAATAACCATGTCCCTACCTATATAGTTTAAGTTTAAAAAATTTGGCTCTCAAAAGAAATTTCAGTCGTTGTACTGTTGATATTTGGCTCTGTTGACTAATGAGTTTGCCAACCACTAGGGCCTAGGGCAGTGGTTCTCAACCTTCCTAATGCCACAACCCTTTAATACAGTTCTTCATGTTGTGGTGACCCCCAATTTCATTGTTACAAATTGAACATAATTGAAGCATAGTGATTAATCACAAAAACAATATGTAATTCTATATGTGTTTTCCGATGGTCTTAGGCGACCCCCCAAAGGGGTCGCGACCCACAGGTTGAGAACCGCTGCCCCAGGGGTTAGTGTCTTATATCCGCTTTCTGAGTGGGAACATGGGTATTGCCTATATTAGAGAATGACGGTGTCAGAGGTCAGTGTTGTGGGGAAAGGGTCTGGGCAGTGTGAAAGGACTGCACAGGGAGGGCGTGGGTGCTGGGCTCAGGTGCTCCTCGGGGGGAGGGGGGGGCCCACTGGCTCAGACAGCTAAGCTCACTTCTCTGCCAGTGTACGCCTTTGCTTGCCGGGTCTTTCTCCCTCTTCCATCTCCTACCATTCCACATGTGACAAGAGGAATAACCAGGCCCATGTGTCCCAGTCTTAGAAAGACAGCTGCTATCCCCCCCATACCTCCTGCGGACCTAGCCCCCCTCTTCCTTTGGCCCTGCCTCTAGTTCCTTTGCTTTCCTCTCAATCCCAGGCTCCCCACAGCCTCTGTCCTCAGGGCCTCCTGGCCTGACCTTGTTCCCATCCCCCCTCCT